TGCACAGGATATTCTGTTTAAAAGTATTTTTCTATCAGGTTGAATCTAAGTGGAACAGTGCCTCCTGCTTTTAATTTGTTGCATTGCAGAAACTTTATTTTACATCTAAGAAGAGGCTGTTTTAAATGTGCTTTTATAGATTGAATGATTAAGACCTGTTTTGAATGTTATGTACAGTGAGTAACTTATATTTCTCTTAATTTCAGATTAAGTCTTTCTTTTGCTTGAGGGTTTTTTATTTGAAACATTTTAGCTTTTTCGAGGAGGAAGGAAATAAATGGTCAGTGTTTGAATTTCACATCATTCTTCTTTATAAGGACAAAATAAAACAGACTTGTAAAGCTACATTTTTAGGCTTTTTGTGCCTTTATTGTAGAGACAGGACAGTAGATAGATTCGGAAATCAGGGACAGAGAGAGAGATTGAGGAATGACCGAGTGGAAAATTAAGCCATAATGGAAGTGCAGAATCCTGCAGCTTGTCGAGTTTCCGCTTGAGGCTGGCTCCAGGAGCCCCGGAAGTCACACACAGCCAAAAAAAAGATTTTACAGCAGAAATTAAAACACAAAACCTGGTACAAAAAAAAAAATCAAATAGGGCGTGCACCATAACCACTCGGCCACTGGCGCCCCTGATTGAAATTTTTTAATGATTTTGTTGTGAAAACGTTTCTGTTGAAACATTATGAACTGTTGAAAAGCTTAACTATTCCTAAAATGTGCCTCCAACATGTTGGAAGTCCCTGAATTCAGTCATAACAGAATACGTCATAATCATGTTTGGCTGTGTGACAAGAAGACAGAGTTTACTAAGAAGTCTTCAGGAAACTTTGAAAGTGTATGGTTTACCATCAGGCCTTGACTTAAAGCCACATCATTGTTTCACATCCTGTTGACAGGAAGCAGCTAATTACATGTCGAGTTTTATGAATGCTGTAGCGTCAATGCATTTTCTGATTCATTACTCTTTGAATAAATCTGTTTGTACAGCAAGAGTGGGAACGGCGGGGCGCTGGTTAGCCTAGTGTTAATGTCATGCACCCCATGTACGGAGGCTATAGTCATCGCTGCGACGGCCCATTGCTGAATGTCCTCCCTCACTCTCTCCTCCCAACATTTCCTGTATCTCTTGAACGGTCCTATCCAATACAAGCAAAATGGCCTAAAGATAACTTGAGAACAGCATCAGGTATCCATTTTTGTTTTAAGATGGGGTTTTTTTGGGGCCATTTTTGCCCCTGTTTGAATAGGACAGCTGAAGAGACCCAGGTAATGCTCGGAAGAGAGAGCGTTGGATGAAGTGCAGAAAAAAGAGCAGAGGTCGGATTTGAACACATGGTCCGCTGCAGAGAGGACTACAGCTTCTGTAAATGTGGCGCGTGAATCAAGAAGTAGGCTACCAGCGCCCCTGGGTACCAGTTTTAAAGAAACATACCTGTAATACAGAAAATGTACCTTATCGTCCTCAATTACAGGTAGTTTGACAAAAGACTAATCTGAGACCTCAAACACCCGGTGCTAAATCTTCATAACTCTTTTTCAATAAAATATCACCTTTAAAAAAAACGTTGTCAAACAGATTGAATTTCTGCAGAAATGGTGGAGTATTGACTATTGTCTGATGAATATACACATAATTCTCCATGTTCCATCCAAATAAATAGCAAGTAGCAGAACACACGGTGCATGTACGGCGCACTGCAGTTTGATGCTGTAGGGACATGGTAACCTGTATATGTACCCATGTGGTTGCGACTGCTTCTGCTATATGTGGAAAGTTCTATAGTTTCCAAACTCGGCTCATCAATATGACTTAGTGAATCAATATTCAATTACAATGAACCTGTTTGCCTGTACACATTAGTAGATGGTATGTTGCCTTGTGGTCCAAGAGCCCTAAAGCCTGATGAGATGAGAATTTACCACTGAACAATCTCAAACCTCGTATCATGCGCTGAATATTCATTGCTGAGGGGTCAGGGATGAAGGTTTTTTTTTTTTCAATGATTTTTATTGTTAAAGATTTTAAGGATATTTCAAATACTGAAAATAGTTTGGTTTGGTCAGGCTTCAGCATCCACAAAAAGACAGCTGATACAGCAGCATGAACTGTGTACCTACCAATAAAGTCGAGTCAAAATCAGAGCCGATTAATTGGCCAGCCGATAATATCGGCCGATTTAGCATATCAAGTCACTAACGGTATCAGCTACTTTTAATGCCGATATCCCCCGAGATTTATTCACCAGTCAAAAAGCATTTCATTTGAGTTTCATTGTATTATACTTGCAGTTCTCTTTCATCAGCAGTGCGCTCTATGGATTACAGAAAGCATTATAACTATCCAGAGTGTCAAGCGGTGATGGACATACATGCACAGTTACTCTCAAGCGGAGCACCCATCTTTTCTTCATTATATAGCTTTTACACATTTCTTGAGTTGTTCCTCATCATGCAGATCAAACACTTGTGGAAATCTAGATTTATCTATATGTACAGAACGAACATTACTTACAAATGTAATGAGTTTAACATCTTGATTTCTCTCCATCACAGTCGAGTCTGTTAGTAAGTTCCACATTGGACCATGATGAGCTTTTAAACTTGTTATGTCACTAATTCATGCATGTAGGTGTATGTATCAAACACACCAATTTAGTTTATGCAGTTAACACAGTTTGACCTAAATATTTTGTATATTATGTGTGGGAATTTGGTTTATTTTATGTCTTGCTTTAGATCGTAGACATGATAATTTCACCAAAGATAATTCTCTACATTTTGAAACTAGAAACAGAGGTGACATAGTGATTGTTGGGACGTCCTGGGGCTGAATTCTAAGTGAAAATTGATTTCAGGACTAGAAGAAAAAACAAGAGGAAATAGCACTAGGATTTTCCCCAATATGTAACCTCAGTGTGACCCTTTACCCATTATGTCTTTTGTAACCAGACTGGTTTGAATCAATCCTGTTGTGGGACGAATGAGAACAAAATAAAAACAGTCGGGTAGAAAGAAAAAGCCTGCTGGTGGATTGGGGTTGAATCTTGTTTACACACATCACAGTTTGGGGATAAGGTAAAGCTATTTTTGTCTTTCTAACAAATAATCCTGCTCTAGTTGATGCTTGTTGTGACCTGCTAAACTAAAGAACAATAATATGCTTTTCTTACAGGGTTTTAGGCATGGCCGACCTCTGATAAAAGGCCTTTTTTATCACAGAGGCAATTAAAAGTACTTAGAATTGTACTGTTTGAAGTTGGCAAACAGAGCTTGGTAAACCCACTAATCCATTGTGAGAGGTTTACTGTTGCTGGGATAAAATAATGTCTTGCGATATCATGAGGACTTAATTACAGCCAGCGAGGACCAGCGGGGTTTGAAATGGGACATGGTGACTTTTGCTGCACTATAGTAGAAAACGATTGATTGTACAAGGCCTGTGTGGATAACTGATTGGTATTGAATAGGGTTTTCAGTGCTAGACTAATTCCTTCTCTGTACATATGAAGAGAAAATAGACTGGGATATTTTAGAGCTGAGAAATCCTTTGGCATGTAGTCTGGACTACAAAGCATATATTTGGAAACGGCATGGTTATTTACACCCACAGCTGTAGCACACACCCCAATGAGCAACAAATACAAATACTTTCAGAGGGCGCAGTTGTAAGCTTGCAGTGTTACAGTTTACAAAGGTAAAAATCATTCAGAATCATGTTCAATCCAGAGAAATATGATGGAAAAAAAAACGGTATTGACCTGCAAAGATAGGCCAATAGGTCAATTTCCGTGTTACAACCCATCACTGTGAGGCAATGATCTAAATGCATTGTTGAAGCTGTTGGTATTGACTTTCTTTAGTCAGAGTTGGCAGCCGTCCCTCAGCAGCTCAGTTGTTCTCACTTTGTGTCTGATGGACACAGGAGCAGAAGCGGGTCACGGAGGTTTGGCTGATGTGCAGGGACTCATGTGGAGGGCACCAACGATTTTAAAAAAAAATTTTGGGCGTCAGGGGCGTATGACCCGAGGAGATTTAAGTCACCACCGGCAGTCCATCCATGCTGCTGCAAGGTAATGGAGACAGTGTGTGTACAAGTCCTCTGGCCTGCTTTTATAATGTTGCAGATGAGGAGAACGGTTTTGAAGAGCCAAAAGCGGATAGCTAGCTCGCCAATATTGGATTATATTCCTGGATGGACGACTTTTTTGTGACTGTTTTTAATGATTTTTTTTCAATGTGACTTTTATCATCTTCAATTTACTATTTTCCTACTTGTTTGTGTTACATTTCTTTCAATTAAGAGGTAAAACTATTTTAATTTGGGAATATAATTCTTCTGTTTAAAAGACAAACTGTGCTCTTCAAACTGTTTTAGTTTGAAACGCTGCTTTTATTTTCAGCGTGCTTTTGCTGTTCTATACGTATTGCTTAATTCAAGCTTCTAACTTTCTATATACACATTTTCACAGATATACTCCCTGATTGTTTGATTTCTCTCTGCTTCTGATTTTCCACAAGTCATAATGGCAGAGTGAAGATGGGGGACTGGAACTTCTCTCGGGGGATTTTGGAGGAGGTGCACATTCATTCCACTATGGTCGGCAAGATCTGGCTCACCATTCTGTTCATCTTCCGCATGCTGGTCCTCGGTGTTGCAGCCGAGGACGTGTGGAACGATGAGCAGGCCGACTTCATATGCAACACCGAGCAGCCCGGGTGCAGAAACGTCTGCTATGATCTCGCTTTCCCAATCTCCCTCATCCGCTACTGGGTGCTGCAGGTCATTTTCGTGTCCTCTCCCTCCCTGGTTTACATGGGCCACGCTCTGTACAGGCTGCGGGCGCTGGAGAAAGCTCGGCAGAAGAAGAAGGCTCTGCTGAGGAAGGAGCTGGAGCTGGTGGATGTGGAGTTGGCAGAAGCCAGGAAGAGGATAGAGCGGGAAATGAAGCAGCTCGATCAGGGGAAGCTCAACAAAGCTCCTCTGAGGGGCTCTCTGCTGCGAACATACGTGGCTCACGTTGTCACCCGCTCTGTCGTCGAAGTGGCCTTCATGACAGGCCAGTATCTCCTTTACGGCTTCCACCTCTACCCACTCTTCAAGTGTCAGCGGGACCCTTGTCCTAATGCTGTAGACTGCTACGTTTCCAGACCAACAGAGAAAAGTGTCTTCATGGTTTTCATGCAGTGCATTGCTGGGATTTCCCTCTTTCTAAACATTTTGGAGATCACGCACCTGGGCTACAAGAAAATCAAAAAGGGCATCCTGGACTTCTACCGTCACTTGAGAGACGAGAGATATGAACCTGAAGAGTACTACGTCAACAAGTTTAAAAAAGAATCCGTTGTGCAAATTTGTGACGCCAGAAAGGCGACAATTGCTTCAGCGCCCAGTGACTACAACCTCCTGCTGGAGAGGATGCAGGGGAACATTATGTACCCAAACCTTATCAAGCCTTCAACTTTTCCACCTCTGCAGGGCGAGCAGGCCAATCAGCACGATTTGGAGGATTCTAGATGTTCAGCTCAAAGCCCTCAGGATTGTAACTGCAACCTGACTGCTAAAGAGCCCTGCTCACCGTGCTGCGACTCTCTGATAAATCCAAAGCAGGAGGCTGAGGACTTTTCGCATCGTCCCCTACAAACTAAGGAGGAGGAGAGCAGTGGAAGAGGGAGCCCAGACTCTCCTAAATGCCAGCAGAAGGCCGCTCACTCTTCCTCCTTCCCCACGCTGCCAGTAAGTGCAGCAAGGAAGCTGTTCAGGGCACAGGGATCTTTAAAATGCTCCACAGTGTTGGAGGGAAAAAGCTCTGACACAGACTCATATGGAGGGGGATCAAAGCCCAGCAATGGAACTTCCTCTGCTCGAATGCAGTCGTCGAAGTCGGATGCCAAACAACAAAGTCGGCCTTCCACTCCAGAGTCGGTGGAAGATTCCAGCTCAGGATCAGCAGGGAACAACTCCCGACCACCTTCCTCCAACTGCAAAACATCGATGGCAAGTAACACGAGCAGCAGGCGAGCGACAGACCTGCAAATCTAAACTTCAAATGCCGTTTCCTTATTTTCTGTATTGGAGTTCAGGAATCAAGGTTACACAAGTCCTTTTCTGAATTTCAGTAATGGATTCAACAGCTCTGGATTTAACAAGAGACACTTTGTTCATATTATTTTTTGTTTTTTTGGTTCTCCTAACAAACATTTAAACAGCAGTCTACGTACTATGCCACGCTTTGAAAACACAAAAAACTGCTTGTGGTGAATTATACCAGCACCAAACAACTCAGGATTTCATAATGAATGTCATATATAATTTGTGCAACTATTTTTGGACTGAACCTTTATTCTACTGTTACTTTCATATGTGTAGCTACAAAATGAGTACAAATGTAGTTGACACATTACATTAAAAACTCAACATATAGAGAGTTCAGGCATCTAAAAACAAACCCATTCAAAATTCCCATCGACTTTGAGAGGATAGACCCCATGGCGCTAAAATGCTAACTTACTTCCAGGTTTTAGGACTGATTCCTGTGGCACCATATTACTAAAATGAGAAAGTTTGGTAGATCCTGCCTACTCCATTCCAACATTAAGGCTGGCTTCTGATAACCATGGTTGTGTTCAAAATAAAGTAGACTTCTTCGTGATATTGATGTAAATCGCTATTTTGGACCACAGAATCAGTAACACCAAAATAAAAAGCAAGGATTATACATTACCTTTAAGGAATTGGTTTAGTGAAACAACAATAAAGTATTACAAGGCTGTTCTTTATTTGACTAGAATCTTTCTTTCGTAACTTTACCAGACCTTTCAAAATAAAAGTTGTGTGTTGTTGTCTTACATTGCTGTGAGGGTCTTGTCAAAGTGTTTTTAATGCCAGGAAAATAAAAGTATGATTATATTTTTAGTTTTATTCCAACATAAGAGTATTCAAAACATCTCCCATTTCTGAAGAACTGTACTGTCACATGAGAGGAAACTTTCTTTTTTCTGAACTATACTAATGACTAAATTAAGGGGAAAAAACATATTTACAAACATGTACAAAATAAGTTAAATTCTAAGAAACATATTAGAAACTAAGGTTCACAAGAAAACAGCACAGTTACGTACAAATTATAGGCGTTCACTTAACAGTGTCATCTAGTCTTTAAATTCAAATTTAAAGTGACAGAAGTGTAAACAAAAAAAGAACATTAATCAGAACAGCGCTGTGAGGAGGTCTAGTCGGCTGTGGCTCCATCTTCTGGTACAGGCTCATAGCGCTGCAGCTGGAGAGATGGAGAGACATACGTCTATATCAGTGAATTTTATTTTATTATGACAATTATCTTGACACAACAGAAAAAAGCTAAAGGCAGACATCAGAATGCATTTTTTTATGTCAGACAAAATAAGGCCTCGTAACATCAATTGAAAATCAGCAAAATGCAGGGACTTGATTTTAATAAGGTTACACTCTAACTGTTTTTTGCCAACTTCAGACATTGTGATATACCACACATATAACAGAAGTAACAGAATGATGACCTTAATTAATTCATAAATAAAACATCTGTTCATTGTTGACAAAACTTACACAGAAAAGCTCCCTTCTCTATAAACTACCTATAAATATCTCTTTTTAAAAAGTTTTTATTTTTGTGCTTTTTATGTCTTTTTATTTAGAGAGAGGAAAGTCGATAAAGAGAGAATGACATGTGGAAAGGGGCGTCAGGAGGCCATCTGCTTAGAGGACTAGCCTCTGTACATGGGGTGCGGGCACTAACCACTAAGCTACTGGTCGCCCCCCCCCCATCATTGAGAGCTCACTGTTGTGTATTTGCTTGCTCTGAAATCACAAACACACACGTTTTTGTGTGTGTAATTAGCTGATCCAAAACAAATCAACAAGTCATACACACTACTTGTCACAAAACTAGCTCTCAAAAGAGTTGCCAGTCAAACAACTGGCTGTCTAAAATAACTTTGACACTCACCGTTTTGAACAGGCAAAGCTCACCTTTGTTTTGAGGTCTTTGTTTTCCTCTGACAGACTTGTACACCTCTGCCTCAGCTCGAGCACCTCCTGCTGCAGAGCCTCCGTGTCTTCTGAAGTCATGCCGGCAGCCCCGAGATGCTGCTTCACAAATCTAGAAGGAGCCGGTTAAAGACTACAACAAGCAAAGGCCTTGGATCAAAGACTTTAAGGCTATAACTCAACGTTCTTGTAGGTAAACTAAAATACTCTCTGCAAACACCTCCTTGTTCTGGAGAGTCTGGTAGTGTGTACATAATGTAGAAAGGATACTCCAGCGCATTGTTGGGCCTCTCTTGGGTTTCATACAAAGCCACTAAAACTGAAATGAATGAAGGAAAAAGAGGGTTACGTTTAACTGCACAAGAATTGAGGGAAACCTGCTGATATAACATGGGTTTAAAAAATCAATACATGTTGGACATATATCAAAACACAGTTATTTTGTTCCCCTTTTAGTGAAGATTATGCACTACTCTGATTTAAAAATGTATTGATAATAAAAAAAAAAGTATTCTGCTGCTGAATCGGAGTCACTTCAAGAAGTAAAGCATAAATAATGTGTGTGATCTTAAAAACAGTTTAATATAACATCTTACATTACTTATTGTTGACTCATCACATTGTTTTGCTGTTTGTATTAAAGTTTGTGTACAAATCCAGTCTAATTTGAAGAGTTAATTTGATACCATTTATCTAATTAGATAATGATTTTTTTATTTATTTTAATCTCTTAATATTCACTGGTTCAGTCCTGTCAGATTAAGGTTAAAAGGTAAAATTGCCATACCACTGGTCAGACTGTCCACAACCCCAGCTTTCTCCAGGTACCTGCGAAACTGTTCCCTTTTGGGGTCTGGACCCTGTCGGAGGAAAAGATAGCAAATATGAAAATACTTAATGATCAACCTTTAACTTTTTCTGTTGTGTTTTAAAATCAACATGATTCAAACTCAATGACGTCATGCCCCCCTCAGTGTGTTACTTTCTGTTTGTAAAGTTTAAATAGACAGTTAGGCTACTTAAATTATGTGACAATGCAGAAAATATTGTCGAAAAGCTGTTAGTTAGTTTATGAACATTATCGTTTACGTTTACAACTTTGAACCTCTTCGACTTCAACAGGTGTTCAAAATATTCACTGATGAACAGTTTCGCTAGTTTTCAGTTCCTGAGCAACAACCAACACACTTACTTACTCTGTAATGTGCCATAGCGAAATGGGAAATGCAGTTGACTTTCTCCGTATTAAATATTGTGTTTCGTGTTCGCTTGGCCACACACACACACACACACACACACGCACACACACCCTGTTTTGAAGAGAAGGGAAACTAATTCTGAAGCGGCCGGAAAATTAAGTTTCGTTTAAGAACTGCCACTTGGAACAGCCGCTCGTCAATGTCACTTCTCCCTCACTGACCAATCACAATCAAGAAGGGGCGGGACATCTGTTCCTAACTTTGAGAAAGGCAGAGGTGAAACAAAACTAACTTTTTTGTTATTTTTTTTTTAAGTAGAAAATGTAAATATACGGCATTTCAGATATCAGTTGAATCAGGCTTTTCGAGAACAGCGCACCAAACAACATAACAACAAACATAATGATATAAGAAAGATACAAATATTATAATAGTGAAACAAAACTGACTTGTCCTTTGAAAGCCATTATTTCCAGGTCTAGAGCTGCTCCATATGCTAGGTCGGACACAATTACAATATGCTTTCTCTTTGCCAGTATGTTGCTCTTCGCTCTTTTGTTTATATTGTAAACACGTTGTCATAAGATAAGATAAGATAATCCTTTATTTATCCCACAATGGGGAAATTTACAAAATCATTGTCATTGTAATGGTATTTTAGTTTGCTCTGTTGCTTCGTCTGCCACTTTACATTGTATGTCTTCTTTGTAAAAGTTTTAGGAAGAAAAGCTCATTAGGTATACTGAGCAACTTAAAACAGACCTAAGACCTGCTTCACATTAACTGTGTGTTAGATGCATTAAGAAGGATGGAGAGAGACAGCTGCCTGGGAGTGAAGACAAAAGAGTCGGAGAGCCCCCTGCTGACTGGTTGCAGTTAAGGTCATAAACCCTTAACAGACAGGACATGGGTCAAACTATAAAATGAATATGTATTTGAGATACATTTTTCTCAAACCTGATTATGTCCAGATAATTATTGATAGACTTTCAATCATAATAAATGTAAGACCAACTGTGTCCATCTGTACCATACTATGTGTACTTTTGGCAGGTTAACATCATTATAAAATTAACAATAACATTAATGTTAACACAGCTAAAGTAGTAGGGTAGCTGATCAAATTATCAAATAGCTAAGATTAATAAAGTCATGGTTGCCAAAAATAAATGTATGACTGACTGTATGCTGTCTATAAGTACAGAAAAAGAATGACAGGGTCACCAGGAATACAACTTCTGCAGTTCGCCGAATCTCAGACTAATCTAATATTAGAAATATACAGACCTAGACAACCAGCGAACAATCATCGAAACAATGTGAAATCTTCCAATCCTCCGACGTATTGTTGACACATCTGATGTTGATTCTTTATCACTTTTACACCCCCAGTTAATATAGAAACAACGTTGAAATCATAAATGAAGATCAATGTTTTTTTTCAATGATGTTTCAACTGAACGTCCTGTTTAACCGCTGCAAATTACTTTGAATACCTATAAGTTAAAACTTACACTCTCTGGAGTTTTTTGTTTAATTCCGACATTTTAGTAAGACATTGAATGCATCATACTTTCTGTAGTTGATCTCTGCCGCCGCCTGCTGGTATATTAAAAACAATGTTCGGTATATTTTTTTTTATTACAAACTTCATTAAATACTCATTTTATAACAGCAAACACATATATATTAATGCTGTACTACTGCAACGATGTTTTGTTTCGAGGGTGTGTTTGGTTCTTATTCGGGTTATGGGTCACAAAACAAGTCTTGAGTACTAGTCAGGTGACCGCGTCGGACATCACTAGAGTGACAAGGCGATTCGACCAATCGTATGTCGTGTTTAATCTGGACAGCCAATCAGAAGCGAGAGCTGTAAATGAAGGGTGAGAGGAAATCCTAAGGAAATGTGTGGGATCACGCTCGGTGTTTCCTAAGAGCTCAGGCTTTATTGACAAACTATTTGCAATTGTGTGGACGTTTTGATTCGTGAGCGTACCGATCTTACGATACAAACCGCGGCTGTGGCGAAAGAGAAGTAAAAAAAAAAAAGGGGGTGGAAAAGAGGGGGGGGGAAAGCGACCATTGTTAGGTCAAAATGTCGATTCAGTACGAGGTGGAACAGCTGGCTGACAGCTACGGGGTTGCAGACTCGTTCCCCAAAGATTTCGGCTACGGTGAAGAGGAGGCCGACATCGAGGACAGCCCGTCGCCGTCCGACAGCAAACCGAGAATCCTGCTAATGGGCTTGAGAAGGAGTGGTAAATCATCGATACAGAAGGTGAGGAGGAGAGATGATGAAGTGTTAGCATGTCGAGGCGAGCTGCGCCTTCCCTGCTCCACGCAAGTAAACGGGACGTGAGCCAACATAGCTAGCAAGGTACCTTTTAGCATGTCGTGAGTGAGCAATAGCCACCGATAAGGTTGTATCTCAATGTACACTTCACTTTGAAGGAAACACACAGCCTAAAGTGTGAGCTAACGGGAGTGTAGCTGTATAGTGGTTAATTATCAACCAGGTGTGGACGCAGACGCTAAAAGGTGCATCTTCCTTCCCAGATTTATGTGGACATAGAAGCAGCATGTGACTGTTTGGTTAGCAACTTGTCCAACATGCCAAATGTATCTGTGTCACACCCAGCTGTGAGGAGCAGGGCAGGTCTGATGTGTAAGCCCTCACATGACAGGGAAGCGACCACACCTTTTTTTTATTATTTTTTATAACTGCAAGTCATAACACCTTGTATTAAATCAGTGCAGGAGACAGTCACAGCACCTGCAAGGCCCTACGTGAACATTTCATCTATCAGGGACATGGCCGGATTCATCAGTTCAGGGACATTTGTAGGAACCCTCTTTTGCAAAAAAAAAAAAAAAAAAAAAAAGAATAGCAGCACCACTTGTAATACCTGTAAAATCTCTGCAAATACTGTCTCAATTCCCCCTAGTTAACTTCATCATTCATTTTGTACTGTATATACCCCCTGTTTTTTTTAATTTTTTAATTTATTTTAATTTATCTTATCTATTCTGTTTAATGTGTATTTTTGAGCTTTCTTGTCTGTGCTGCTGTAACGCCCCGAATTGAATCAATAAAGTATTATCCTATCCTATCCTATCCTAAACTAGTACAGCATCAATAGAGGGAATAGTTTCACACTGCATTTTTTTTCCCCTCAACCAGTATGACCATTTTAAGATGGTTATATCTGTAGTTGATCCAGGTGACAGGTAGACATTGTTGTATATTGTGAAAACTATATGAAGTGGGATAAATCAATAAATACGTAATTTTAAGCATTTTAAGATGTAATTCATCATTTTTTATTGTGTAGCCTTCTACGATGTGTTTATTACGAATGCTCACATTGCGATAATTATGAAATTTCAATAAATTGTGCAGCCCTCGGGACAGTTTTCACCTCTGCAAAAAAAAAAAAAAAAAAAGACAGTACAAGTGGAGTAGGGCTGCACAATAATTCACATTGACATTGTTATCACAATATGTGCATTCACATTAAACACACCGTAAAAGTTAGAATTTATTGCATTTAAAAAAATGAATGATTTCTCTCTGGGTATATTTACTGTGTGATGGAGGCCCAGGGGTGACGGCCGTGCTTCAACAACATGTTGATGCAGTCAGGCGAAGCTCCTCCTAACTATCGGCTCCCCTCAGATCGACTGCTGCCAATTTCGTGGTTAATAATAAAACAGCTTTTTGGATTCAGGAGAGGTGTGTTGCAAAGACAAGTTTTGTGTTAAACATGAAGACCAGCAGATAGGAATAAAAACAGAGTTCTAGATAATATGCACTCTTTAATATTTGTTTATATACCGCACTGCATTTCATGATTGAAATACTGGACAGATTAATCACACATGGTACAATCTTTTAATATTTTGTGAGCTTATAGTGCAGTCCTTTACCAGAAAACTGGAGAGATTACAATTGTTTTACTTGTTTATGTGAATTTAGCAAACTTGAACTTATTTAAGAATATGAATAATTTGAGGTGAATTAATAGAATCAAATGAAAATCTACTGAAATATATTTTTTAAGGGTCCCTCTATAGGACAATGCCTCTAGTAGCCGACCTTTATATTACTCTTAGTTGGCCCAAATGCTGGACCCCATTTGCAATTACTGAAACTACCAGAACCAATTGACATGGATGGACTTGCTTTTTAGGCTCACATGCCTACATGGTGGTGTTCCCTCTTTGATTTAAAGTTCTCTACATTTGCGTGCTCATACTCGTCACATCTTCCACTTTAAGACTGGCCCTGTGGTTGAATTATAGATGAGATGCAGTTGTGCGTTCTATAATAGTTTATTATTGATGTTAGATTTGAAGGGGGAAGTCGAATCAGGCTGGCTATAGCGTGATTCGCCGTGTGGGTATCCTACAGATAGTTGCCTGAAGACCTTTTCCTTGCAGTCCCAGATTAATGCTCTCTTGTAAGCCTCCTCATTGGCCTGTGACCCCAGTGACCCCACAAACTGGTTCAAAATGGCCGGGAGGAGAGAGGGAAAAAAAAAAACTCCCAGGTCCTCCAGCTTCAACTGCTGTAATTTATTATCTACCTGTTACTGTATTCAGTTGACCAGGACTTTGATTAAACCACCAGTCTGCTGTTCACGAGCGTGCAGCAGAAAGCGAGTGACAAAAGTTACATCAGACAAGTGAGTCTGCAAAGTTTTGCCCTTTTCCCTTTTTTCTCTCCATGTGATGTCTGAATGATGTCTGTGTGCTCGAATCATCTGTCAGATTACACAACTTTATAAAAAGAATATTGTTTTTTTACAGGCAGAATGTACAGTTTATTCATCTTTATCAGTGTAGTTAACGAAAAAAAAAAGGCCTTAAAATACTATTTAGAAAAAGAAATGTAATACTGATAGTTGAATGATCAATTTCCCTCGTGATTTCACATGAAGTCAGATAATATCCTGTTTGTTTAGAGTCTAAGACAATTAAAGCAAATGTTAAACTGTGATTTAACACATGAAACAAAGTAAAAGTCAAAAGCCAAAAAGTGAGATAAGTTCTGTCCCTTACTCGTGTAATTTTTTCCAAGTGCACTGGAGGTTTCTGTAGCTGTTTCCTCTATAATGTAGTATTGTCATGGCTCACCTGGTCACAGCATTGTTATGTGAAATTTCACTGTTACATGGTGACACTTGAATGTTTAATGTAATGTTGTCTGAAAAGTATCTCAGCAGTAGAAGAGCAGGATCTGATAAAACAACTGTGCTTTTCTTTAATAGAGGAGAGAGCTTCACCTGAGATGTATAAAGCAGCCACTGAAAAGCTGCTGCCTGGGTGTGATTCACTTCAGAACAATGCAAATATGTAGTTTGTGCTGCTCTGTCAGGAATAAGACCTAAACATTGGACTCACTTCTGATTCCAGGTGGTGTTCCACAAAATGTCCCCGAACGAGACCTTGTTCCTGGAGAGCACCAACAAGATCTACAAGGACGACATCTCCAGCAGCTCCTTTGTCAACTTCCAGATTTGGGACTTCCCGGGTCAGGTTGACTTCCTCGACCCCACTTTCGACTACGAGATGATCTTCAGAGGAACAGGGGCTTTGATATTTGTCATCGATGCCCAGGTAAGGAACAGGGGCAAGAACAACATATTTAGATTCAGTTTCATGTACGCTGTCTGCTTCATCCAGCTGAAACTGCAGACATAAGAAAGAAATCAAACTTCTACAATAAACGAGACTGTGACACAGAGGAGTACTTGAGAATATACTAAAGGTGCTTTAGCACTTACATAAAAAAACCTCTGAGAACTTGAGGAAGTTTTCAGGGTGAGCTGCATGTGTGAACCCAAAGAACCACGTTTTTTTTCACTCTGGTGTTACCCAGACTTTCTCCTGCCAGCCCGCTCGAATATTGTGGAAGTTGTAAATTGTTAATGATGTGTGATGAAAGCAGCACGTCATATTTAGTCAAATTCACTGAGCGAGCCGGAAGGTGTGTTTATGTTAATATCATGCGACCCATGACCAAAGACTATATGCACGTGACGGTACAGTAAGCATGATTCAAAGACAAAAGTTCTCATTATAGCGTCGTTTAGTGGATTCTCACTCTGCCTCTGTGAGGTGCATGCGTGTTAACGACCATCTCAGGAGGATTTCAGGGGCAGTGATGAACAGCCAGAGCAGCCATAATAAAGGATAATTCCTCGCCATGGCTTAAATGTCAGCACTATCCACATGATCTTAAGTGCTTTCTTGAAGTAATCTCAGTGATGAAGTTATCCACAGCAGATCTGATCGCACGGTGTATTTGTACTCGAGGAGGTGCATCAGATTCAATTAGTTTCAGCGGCTCGTCACACAGGGATGTCTTGAGGAGCCTGCTTTCTGTCTTGCTGTTTTGGAAGACAATGTAACAGCACATTTCCTCATACCTGCTGTGGCTGTAACACCTTTAATTGGCAGCATTTATAGATTGTCCTGTTCTTTTTACTGACGCTCATTAACCGTTGCTTAGTTACCATAATTACATTTTTCAATCATTCATTATTTGTTTTGGGCCGATTCATAACAAGTGTTATTTTTAACTTATTTCCAATCTCAAATCTGTACGTCAGTCTTAGATAATGAACATTCTAATCTTTTTAAAGGTTCACTTTATTTTATTTGAAAGAGACAACGCAGTTTATCACATTTTCAATACAGTGCATAAAACTGATGTGTTGCACAGAGAGTGTAGCTTTTGCTAGATTTTAACTTGGGTCCCTATTTGGGCCTTCATATAAACAGTGTAATAAAAAAAATGTGAATTTCAGTAACATAAAAAACACAAAGCTACAGATATGAAGACCTGTGCATGGCAGCTGTCATAGGAGACACTTGTGATAAGGACTTTGGGGTTCTTAAATGTAATATCTGCAATTAAAAAAAAAAAGCCACTTTTTAATGGTTTATTTCCATGAGAGTATCCACAGATGTGTTTATTTCATATATCTGTACTAAAATGTTACTTACTTTTCAGGATGATTATGTGGAGGCCCTGGGCAGGCTTCACCTCACCGTGTCGCGGGCCTACAGAGTCAATCCTGAGATCAACTTCGAGGTGTTCATACACAAAGTGGACGGCCTCTCAGACGATCACAAGATCGAGACCCAGAGAGACATCCATCAGAGAGCCAACGACGACCTCGCAGACGCTAGCTTAGAAAAGCTGCATCTCAGGTACATTTTCTTTAACGTTTTATGATTCCACTTATAAAGCTGGACTAAAAAAAAAAGATTAGATTGGTGCATGATCTTTGGACAGTGAAAAAAAACCCAGTAACTGACACTTACTGACGTCAACAACCTGAGGTGATTATGGACTGAGGTGATTTTCAGTAAAAGAACAACACATCACTCACAAAGCTGCAAACCACAAATTCAAACAGAGCTCACAGTAACTCTGACAACAGGATGGAGGCTTTTCAGGGGAAACTTACTCAAAGTTGTTTGTGAATTCAGTTGCTGCTTAGAACTGAGATTTGACAGCTTGACATAACAGCCAATCAGAAAAGCTTAAACCCCCATGAAAATAATTTCCAGTCTCAAAGTGTTTTCTTTGTAACCCAAACAAAGCGCATTCACTTAAATGTTTCTGAACTGCAGCGTAACTCAAGTGTTATAGTTGTTTTTCCAGATTCTAAAGATGCTTCTTTGACTTGTCACAGTCGATACACCGGCTCAGACCGCTTCCCTGATAATGAACGTTTATTCTTAGACTTTGATTGATTCCCTTTAACATGTAAAGAACACTGTGGCAAAACAACAAGAACAACCACCAGTACCTCGCTTTAAGCTTTACCTCTGACTGGGTCAATGTTAAAACACTGGAGACACTGTTTTTGAGCCCCTAAAGAACCAAACTTAGAAGATGTATAGGTTGCCAAATTGTCCTTCTTACATATCATTAGTGGGGACAGAAAGGGTAAAAAATTAAACTCATTGCCGTGTGTGTGTGTGTGTGTGTGTGTGTGTGCCTACAAACATCACGCCACCCTGCCGACATAAAGACAACAGTTCTATATTTTGTTGTCAGTTCTTTCTGTTATACAAGTTGTGGTTTGTGCTACCACAACACAAGTTTGTGTTAACATGTCAGCATAAATTCTAGCACGTTCCACCTCTCAGTGCGTCAGATTTGAGTAAAGTTTGAAGGTCTGTGCATGTTTAACAACAACAACATGATCTGCTGCACATGACCTGCGATTAAATCCCTGAGTATGTGTTCTTTCAGGACCGTTCTAACATGACGTGAAACTTCTATGTGCTGCTGAGTTGTGTTCAGTGTCTTCACTGTAACAGCTTTTTTGCATGAGCAGTAAAATGAGACACAACATGATGATAGCACAGAAAAAAAACAAATATCTATAAGACAGGGTCAGTGCTGTGGCTGTTCAGTGTAATGTTGATGTGCTTGTTTAGTTCTGTGTGTGTCAGTAGTTTTTACAAACAGTGGAGTGTGAGATTCCTCTTAGATGTCTTAATGAAGAAACAATGACCCGGATGCTTCAGATACTAGAGATGTTGTGACTCAATGTTTAGACAGAAGGCTGAGGCACAAGAGTGTTGATTAGGGCTGGGAATCTTTAGGTGCCTCAAGTTTCGATTTTGATCCTTGGTGTCACGATTCGATTCAGAATCTATTTTCGATTCAAAACAATTCTGGACTCATTCTATTTTTGAATTAGTCCATACTTAAGGATCTGCTCCAGTCATCTGTGAGACTGGCATTCTACTGAGTTAAAGAGCTAGTAGTAGCACTGAGCAGGGAGTGACTGATTAGCCCAAAAAAAAAAAAAAAAATTGAAGTTATGTATCTATTTTAAAATCTCACAATATAAGAATCTTGATTTTTACATTAAAATATTTTTTTTCCCACCTCAGGTGTTGATGGTTCTTATTTCCTTTTGCAGTAACTGTCAAGTATCAATGTAGAAGATTGATGATTAGCTTTGTTGTTTGAAGTGGAAAACACCTGTAGTTTCACAGCATTGTGTTGGCTGTTTCCAGTGAGAGTGAACAGTTGATTAAGTTTCCCGTCAAGACGTCATTATGTGTTTCTTCCTGTGTTGTGTGTTTATACATGTGTGTGTATACCCATCTCCCGTGTAACGACTGTGCAAGGCTAAGACGACAAATTTCCCTAGTTTTATTGTATTATTCTGTGTCTTTGATACTTTTTCATAGTTCTTAAGAAGTCAAGTGTTTTGGAAACTTTATGGCCTTTCATTACATCACTTATTAAGTCACCAATAAATGAAAACAAAATTGAGCTTCCTTAAATATGAACAGATTAGTTAAAAAATGAGTTTAACCCTAACTGAGACATCCGATCTCATGCCTAAAAGAAGGAAAGTAAGAATGAAAAAATTCAACTTAACCTTTTTTTATTTAAAAATGACTAAAACCAAACAAATGTTTAGGATCAGAGCAAAATCAAGTGAAGTATTAATGTAAAACTATTTGAATTTGACATATAAGAGGCTGAACATAAATGTAACACTAAATTGTATCAATGAAAAACTCGATTATGAAAAATAAACCATGAATATAAAATGAAAATAATCATAAATTGCAGCCTTTGTCTTGAAATATTACGCAGGAACAGTAGATTTGTTGTGTCCAACACTAAACAGGCCGCCCTGGCTGATCGCAGTCGGCTCCACAGCAGCTTTACTGTCGATGTTTGGGCCGTCTTGGCACACACAGCTCTGTGTTTTATGTGAGGTGAGATTGTTGTTTATTCCTGTCAGACAGGCAGAGCAGTGCAGGATATTTAGTGGCGCTGAGACGGCTCTTTTTTTCCTTTTCTCTTTCTCTCTCTCTCTCTCTTTCTCTCTCCCTCGCTCTCTCTGTCTTCACTGTGATGCATTGTCAAGTTGAGCTCCTGCCAAGTGTTTTGTAGACGGTTCAATTTGGCTCAGCCCACAGACTTCCTCCGAGTCTGACCTTTTTATATATCTCAATGACAAAAAAATTACAAGTCATGTGTGAGAAGGTTTACTGCAGTCATGTGGAGAAAAGTTTTTACGTCTGTATTTTTATGTCAGAGTCAGGCCGTAACACTTCGCTAACCAGCTCTTCTCTACCATTCAGTGTCGAATGTCATGAGGTCTTGTGACTTTCTGTATTTTTACCTGCTCTCGTGCATTTTCAGGAAGTGAGAAGTGTTTCCTATTTGTAACAGCTTACTCACTTCCTTTTTTTGCATATTTTTCTTTACGCCATTCAGCTTTTACTTGACGAGTATTTACGACCACTCCATCTTCGAGGCCTTCAGCAAAGTGGTGCAGAAGCTCATCCCTCAGCTCCCCACTCTGGAAAACCTCCTGAACATCTTCATTTCTGTGAGTAAAGAGCAGCCAGCAGCATTCTGTGTGTGAATTGTACGTTTGCCATTGACCAGCCTGATTTAGGTGTGACAGTCTGCATGATGTGAGTCACAGTGCCAACCCTGATGTCACTGTGATGGTCAGCGCTTCCTCCAATCATACGACAGTCCTTGATTTCATTGCCAGTCTGTGGATAGGTACACAGAATTTGTAACACTCACACATTCCCCGTGATACATTTGGATTAAATTGCTCTAAAGCAGCCAAAAGACTGCTGGGAGTAATTTATTCCACGATATTCCCAAACTGTTTTGTGTATTTAAAGGGATTCTTCTCCCTTTTTTAATGGTGAAGAAAGGTCCATAAATGTTAGGCAGAGATCAAAGCTACAACTATGTCTTTTGACTTCATAGCATCAGACCTGCCAGGGATCATATTAGATCATTTCCAAGGTGCTGTGAAGTCTTCAAAGTGAATGTATTATATGTCATGATTAAGTAACTAAAAACGACTTTGAAGAGCTTTTTAAGATTTTTACTCGGTGCCCTCAGACTCTTGCACTTTTTGAGCCCATGTCATGTTTTGTCACGTCACAGTGGGTTTAAAAAGCTGTTATTTTTGGTTGTGTAGATGTTATGTGTCTGGATTATTTAAAGTTGCATTTAAAGAAACAGGTTAAACTCTGTACTTGGAAGCTTTGTGAAATGGAGAAAAGGAAAAGACTTGACTTTGTTTTGGTACCTTTTTTATATTTGTCATAAGGCTCTCAACAGTGTGGACACCTGGAAGTATAAAATCACATTCATTCTCCATAATGGATTTGATTATCAGACGGCGGCAATAGCTCAGTCTGTAGGGACTTGGTTCAAGTCCCGGTGTGGACCAAGTCTGGAATTTTTTTCTGGTAGCTGCCGGAGAGGTGCCAGTTCACTTCCTGAGCAATGCCGAGGTGCCTTGCCCAAACCCCCAACACCAGCTCAGGAGTACTCGCTTTGGGCAGCCCCCTCACTCTGACATCTCTCCATTAATGCATATCCATAAGTTCCTGTTTGTGCATGTGTGTGAAGCATGTCTCAATCACAGAGTGTAAAATTGAATTTCCCCTCATGGGATTAATAAAGTATATCTTCTTCTTCTATAATGTCATAACCCTCCAAGGTAGACTGACCATGAGCTGCTTGAGTGTGAAACGATAGTATATGATCCTCTACAAGACACAAGTTGGTATCAACCACGTTTTAAGAAAATCTATTAATAGTATACTGGTATATGAGCAAATTTGTGACCATGCTGTCTACTTTTTCCTAAAGTACTCCACTTTGTAAGCACCAGCTGAAGCGTTTGGTCCGATGTATCGTGTACTGTTTATGGCCTGAGTCTTCTATGATTAGAAAATGAGTATCTTATGGTTTGGACTGTCCTCTTTTAGATGTCGTCTTCACTTCAAGAAAATTGGATTTCTCTTGTCTGACATTTTAATAGTAGGCAAGAAAAAAAATGTCACAGTAGTTAATAATGAAAGAAAACATTCGTTGTTGCCCAAGGGGAAATCTCTGACAGTTGCCAAATCATCACGCAGTATCTGTCATCATATCGCCCACTTATACTGTCATCACTCAAATGTCTCATGTCACAGATGGTATTCCCTGTGTGTGTCTTTAACATGTAATAACACCCACTTCTATCCTTGTCTCTTCTTCTTCTCCTCCTCTCCGTCATCTTTCATCTGATATTTGTCAACGGCAGAATTCAGGGATCGAGAAGGCCTTTCTGTTTGACGTGGTCAGTAAGATCTACATCGCCACAGACAGCTCTCCAGTAGACATGCAGTCCTATGAGCTGTGCTGTGATATGATCGACGTAGTCATCGATGTCTCCTGCATCTATGGGTGAGCATTCATACAGAAGTAGAAGAGATGTTTCTCAGCTTTTCCTAGGGCATTTTCCTTTTGAATTTTTGTAGTGAGTGCATGACAAGCATTGGGAAGACTATTTACGAGTAGATTTTGAATTAACTTTCTGTATAAATTAACATGCATTAAAACCAGAAAAACAACGATTCTCACTTGAACTTTCTGTATTTTCTTAATACTGTAAGATAAAGAGTTTGCCCATGTGTTGTGTGAGGAGCTTTCACT